CAAATTGGCTAAAATTTTACTATATTATAGTTGAATATATATACTATATGTGGTAAAAATTTGAGCCGATTTAGATCAATAGTTATCGAGAAAATCAATGTTAAAGTTTAAAAAAATTTAACAAATTTTTTGTTATATATCGTTAGTAATCACTAACAATAATAATCGGCAGGGGATTGTATATCGATTGTAATCTAGAGGATTACTATCGATATATAGCATCTTTTAAATTTTGCTAATATACCTAGTCAGGTCTTCAATTGCCAATACTACATGTTCATGATTTGCTACGGTTTAGAGCAGAGACTCTACACAGTCTATAAAGACCTTATCAAAAATCTAGCTTATCACGGTTATATATATCAATTCTGGCAAGAGCTTCAGAGCATATCTTTGACATTGTTCACAACTCAACACTATCTTTTTAACATCATCATACATATTGCCTGATCCCCACATATACTTCATTTTAACTAATGTCAAGGTCTTATTGATTTCTTAATATCTACTTTCATTAGCTAAACTTTCATGATAAGCCTTCGCTATTTCATGTTTGTCATAATTTTTCATAATTATATGCTTAAGCGAGGCCTCTTTTCTTGATCATAAGTATAGATTACTTCCTATTAAACAATATTGTTTTATTTTTCTTTTTAAATAGAGCAAATCATATGCTTTCACGTGAGACTCCTAGCTTAAGTTTTGCAAATAATATTTTATCAAAAACAAGTTACTAATTTTCTGATTTTTGAAGTCTACTCTATACAAAAGTTCTTTGACAAAACTATCATTAGTTTCAATTTTCTCATTGGCAGGTCAAGATAATACAACATTCTATCTGCATTACAATGCTTCTTGTCTGACTTATACCGAACTCGAAACTCAAATAACTGCAGCAACAAGATCTATCTCATTAATCTACCTCTTAGTTTAACCTTATTGAACAACTATTCTAAAGCTTGATGGTTCACCTATATATCGAATATAGTTTCACCAATATACTGTTCATTCACATAACATCTATACACAATCGCTAAACACTTCTTTTCGGTCACAGTATAGTGCAACTTATGTTCATTCAATTTTCTAGAATCGAACAAGACAGGCCTTAAATATCCTTAGTCATCTTCTTGTTTAAGAACAATACTCATGGCATAATTACAGGTGTTAGTATATATCAATACCGTATTCCTCCGAAAATAAGCACTCCCCGAAAATAAGCACCCTGGCCCACACTATGCCAACTTTGGCCTGCTTTATGACAATCACAGCCAGCATTAAGTGCAAAAAAGGGGTACTTATTTTCGGAGAAATACGGTATAGCTTTTGACTATCCTTGGCAGCCTGCCAATTGAGTATTTTTAAAACAACATCCTTATTTAACTTTCACTTTAGCAGCTTAAATACTTCATTCTCCTCAGATCCCCAATGGAACTTAACGTCTTGCATGGTCGAATCGGTAAGCGGCTTTGCGATCTTGCTAAAATTTTTGACAAATCATTGATAGTAATTTAATATGCTATAAAATGACCTCATTTTAGTTACATTACAAGGGGTCTTCTAACTACGAATCTTTTTAACTCTCTTTGAATTCACTTTTATACCATTCTTACTGATTACATATCCATACATTTCAAGCTTATTATATAAGATGTAACACTTTTTCACAGCAAAAGTCAAACTCATATTTTTAAAGACCTCTGCCAACTCAATGAATGTCTCCAAATGTTCCTCTATACTTCTATTTGTCTATATTCCAATATCATCTTGGTATGCTGTGGCAACATTTCTTTATCTTTCAGCATCCAGTAAATAATCTATTAGCTTTTGAAAGGTTTTACTCATATTCTTTAAGCCCATATACATAACTGTATATTATAATATTCTCAAAGATGTGGCTACAACTACTTTATCATAGTCTTTTTTACGGATACCTATTTGTCAGTATCCTTTAAACACGTTAACTGACGAATACTAATCGTATCCAGCAGCTTGTTCTAATATGTCTCAAATTATCAGCAAGAGATAACTGTTTTTAATTATAAACTTATTCAAGGATTTCATATTACCTACAGCTCTTATTTTATCAGTTCTATCTTCTTTTTTTTGCACAAAAAACAGTAATAAGCATATTCGCCTGACCCTTTTTTCAGAAGTCTACACTCAATCATTTCTTTTAAATAGTTTTTAAACATCTGCCTTGTTTCAGAATTATTTATCCTGATCGGTCATAATTATATTGAAGGTATAATAGCATTACTAGTCCTGACCTCATACTCAACTAGCTTTGTCTTGCCAATATCTTTTAGTTCGTAAGCGAAAATATCTGGCATCTTGTGTATCAATCGTTTAATTATGATGCTTCTTATTGGTTCATTGCGAACCTTAGGCTCTAGATTAATCAGTATGCTGTTTTTGATTGTTAATCTTGATACAACAAAAGCATCTTTTCTTTCGATTGAGCTATTGTTTTTTTCATCAACATGATTTCAAAAATTCACCCAACCATCGAATGCCAAGCCACTTAAGCTCTCACAATTAATAGGTTTGACCTGTCATTGAATTATATTGACTCTATTTTTTGCTTTATTCAAAATAATCGAGGCTTGATTATCTTTATTCAATTCTTCAAATTTATATTCATCTATTTCTATTTTTCAGACTGCCATTATATTGTTAACTTTATTGAAATCGCTTTTATCATCACTATCAGCTTCATCTTAATAGTTACCAATTTGTACATTATCTATTCAACTTTTAGACACTGCTGATACTACAAAAGAAGCAGATCTTGTAGAGGAAGCTATAGTACACCAATATTCGGTTTTTTTGAAACCAAGATGTATTGGGCCCTAGTATTCTATAACATACCTAATAAAATATCAAAGCTCGCTGTTTCTATTATATAGAAGCCTTGCTGTACCACAACACCTTCCATTTCAACTTCTATATCAGGTATGCAACCCACAAACTGACTAACTCTATTATTAGCTATACAATCTCTACTATGTGTTTGTTTCCATTCCAATTCTTTTTTCACAGCATACTTCTTCAACATGAGGTTTATACGGAAACCTGGATCGATCAAGACTTTCACAGAATCTCTATTTATCTTTACCATCTATATAGGTATGACTTCATTCAACTTTGGTTGATTATTGTGTAAAACACCTCATATGATTCTAATTCTAGCATGTTGATCAGAGATATTATTCTTTTTTCGTCATGTTGGAGCTCCTATCATTTCTGAGTATACTTTGGGTGACCACTTAAATAGTTGTCCTAAAGTAAATGTAACTTCCATACCAGACAGTTTCTTTAGTATATCAAGCTCATCGGAAAGTTTAGCGAAAGGTACATATATCACATTTTTATGTGACTTCGGCTTCTCATTTGCCAGTTTTGACTCATGAATTTTTCTCCTTTTACTAATAGTTCTATTGTTTCAATTACATTGTTGCTTTTTTTCTTTTGCCAAATGCCCTTACATTGCCACACTCCTCTTCGTCCAACAATTCTACCTCCAAGTATTTCCTATCATTCTTATCATTCTTTTTACTAAATTCCACTAAGCATATATCAGCATTATTGAACCTTATACCCATATTGGGTTTGTTATTACTTTTAATCTAGTTAGGACAGTTTTTTGCGATATGGCCCTTTTGTTTACACAGGTAATATATTCGTGATTTGCTGGTTCTTTGTTGAGTATGTTTTTTGTACAGATCTTTTATATTTTTCATTATAGCATCCTGGATCATTGCTTCAACTTCACTACAACTCAGCTTATCATCATGTTCAATACGATTGATGCTTAGTACTACAATTCTTTTTACAATGCTGTTAATATCAAGATCCAATTTGCTTGATTGTAGAGTTTCTTCTGATATGATTGTATCTTTTTGTTGGTTAATATCCTTGTCTCTTCTATAATTCTCTATTCCTAATGACTTCTTTTTGGTATTATCATAGTTTTTAGAACAACAATTCTTCATCTTCGTTTGATATGGTTCTTTTAATCCACATATATACCAATCATGCTTCTCATTGTTTCTTAGTTGATTCTTCACAGTTTCAGTATAGGCTTCATAACAGTTAGTATATTCTCTTACTAACTCTTTATCATCTTGTTTTAGGTGCTTTAATCGATTGATCTTTGCTTTGGTTTTGTTTTCGGCCTTAATCTTATCAACAATGGTTTTTTCAGATCTGCTCAAATCTTCTTGGTTTGTATTAGATCCCTAACTCACATTCTCATACTTTCCGATATATACATATGCACTATTAGATATAGGGTGTCGTTATTATATTTCTTGGCTTTTTTATAGTCTTTGAAGTTAAAGAAAAAGTTCTCTATATCGTCAACTTCGGCGCCATGATATATAGGTATAGTTTGATCTTTACTTCCTATTGTTTATTATTTTTTTTCTTCCTTTATATTAATGTCTTTGTTTCTTTAATACTGATACCTGTACCTTATTAATTTTGTTTTTCACAATAATACTACTATTGTTCATTATAATCTTATTCAACTCTGATTTACTGATTTTGGTCTCATAGCTTTTGGTCTCACAGCTTTTGTCTTACGGTTTTTGTCTCATGATTTTTGTTGCTATAACAACTTTAATAAAAGAAGACTTTTGTCTTGCTTAGGTTCTTCCATATTATAGAATTAATTAAAGCATATATTACTTTAAATTCTTGCTCAAATATTTTGGTTTATTTTATTACACACCCGCTACTTTACTTTGTATATTCTAGTTTCTACTTCTTACCTCTTCACTTAGCAATAGCTTTTACCTTCCAATCTCTAAGACACCACCATGTTACAAGTCAGGCTTTTTGGTATTTATTTAAGAACAATAGAAGTTGAGATTCGATTGCCAGATCGAACTTCATATTTATTCAATTATCATGTGCACTTATATTATTGATTTTCTATTAACTACAAATTAGTATTATTAATAGACTATTAAACAACAATAGACTCTTATATAGCCTCATTAACTAACAATCTTATTACTAATCATTATGTCGATCATTTTTATTATCGTTAGCGATCTCACGAGATCTCGAGATCATATATATCTAATTAAATTTATGTCAAAATACTTAAGCATGCTGGTTTTCTCTTTTTGCAAGCCATTATCACTTTATTTAACAGATGCATTATCTCTAATTCAATTTCCAAACAATGAAAAGAAGGAAGAATATTTCTAATTTTTAAAAAACCTATCTTTGATAGTAATCTAACCAATACCAGACCTATTAGTCTTTTAGAACATATTAAAAAATTATATACTAAACTTTTAATTAACTATCTAAACTATATATTTACCAAATATTTAAAAAATATTTAATTTTTTTTCTATATAATTATATTATACTTCCAGACAACTATACTGCAATTCCTATCTATATACTCAACAATATAATTGAAGAAGTTTTCTGTAACTCAAAAGAGCTTTGGCTTCTATTTCAGGATATAAGCAAAGTTTATATTCAGTCAATATTAACTTATTTAAACTATCTTTTCAATATATCAATATTATCCAAACTTATTGACATACTTACTAATCTTCTATTAAATAGTCATAATAAGGTTATTACTAATCTCAAACTTACAATTCCTAAACTATTAAAAATGGTATTGAACAAGAAGAAACTATTACTCTACTCTTTTGAAGAATTTATTATGATCCTCTTATTCATAAATCTCTTCACAATTTACAGAACATATATCAGTCAGGAAATATATCATACTTGTTAATATATGAGTGTTAGTTTATAATAAAAACTATAATAAAAACACATGAATCTACTATAAACTTTAAGCTCCACATTATTTTCAACTTACAAATTAACTTATTTTCAAATTTTGGGGTTAAGTATGTTAAAAATAGTAGATTAAGATTACTTAGAACGCTTTTTTAAAATTTTGTAAAAATTGCATATTTTCTTAATAAAATTTTGCAAAAAGAATTTTTTTTTTAATTTTAAAATAATAATTATATATAAAATTTTATACTGAACAACTCCAGCTAGAGAGTCAAAAAGGTTATTTTAATACAAAAAAAAGTTTTCTATGTACTAATGTCAAAATTTTCAGTTTTTTTATATAAAACTTTTTTTCTGCTTAGATAACCTGTTCTGACCTCTTAAGCAAATTTGTTCAGCACATAATTTTACGTATTTTATATTTTATTGATTTTGGTTTTTTGAACTTTTTACTAAGTGAAAGTTTGGATTGAAGGTTATATAAAAAAATTAAAAAAATTTTTTTTGTGTAATCTTCAATCCAAACTTTCACTTAGTAAAAAGTTCAAAAAACCAAAATCAGTAAGACACAAAGTAAGTAGAATTATGTGCTAAACAAATTTGCTTAAAAGGTCAGAACAGAGTTAGAAAGAATGGCTTAGTAGTAAAATTGCATGAGGAATTTTTTTTATTAGAACCCCAAAGGTGGTTTACTAATAAAAATTTTGAAATAAATGTTGTTTTTGAAAAGCGAACATTTGTTTTGATTTTTTATGTTATACCAGATCCTGGTTTTTAATTGACCAATTGATCTCAGAAAATCACGTGCCCGAAAAATTAATTCTACACCCTGGTATTGTTCTATTCTATTCCAGCTAACCAACCTTTCAAATTTCTAAAATATTGATTTACTCTTAACAATAAACAATCAAAACAAATCAAATTTATTCAAAATGAAAACTTTCAACTAACCTATATTGCTAGCACAAAAAAATTACAAACAAATAGATTACATATATTATTAATTCTGTTATTATCACTATACTAGAATTTAGAATCCACAACTTAGTACTTTTACATACTATATGCAATAACATTCTATTTAAATACTTTACTATAGCTAAACACAAATCTCATTTTGTAAAATCAATTTCTAACAGTATTATACTCAATCTATATCTATACAATATTCAAAATATCTAGAATATTCAATTACAACATCATATAACCAATTTTTTTCAATGTATCAACAACTCTCATCTCCTAGAAACTACTACTCGTATTAGATTATAGCAACTACAAAATAACTTGTAGTCAACTATTAATTTACTTCAATATTCACAATTAATAATAGATAGTTCAAACAGACTCACACTTAACTTTAAAATTATTCAGCTCTTTATATATCTCAAAATATTTGTAATAGCAAATTCTAATATTATATGGTCTAATATAATCTAACACAACTTTCAACTACTAGAAAAGATACTTATAACAAACTTCAAATACTCTATCTTTAAGCACCATCTTAGAAAACTTAAGCTACTTTATCTTGAACAATTATGTATAGCTAATAATACTATACTCTTAGAATAAAAACATCTTTCTTCTAGACTTTTATATTTACCAAAAGTAAGAAAACCTTTATAGTTCTAAATACTTAAGAATATAGTTCTAGAAAATACTACATATTAGCATCTTCTATATACACATTTTTAACAACAGAGCATTAATATCTTTGTCTATAATATCTACAATATGCTAAAAAGATCTAAACCATAGCTACTTTCTTTTAATGATAATGAAATTATTATTGGTAAAATTCATATACATCTCACAGACTCTAATAAAATTTCTATTACTTACTAGTAAACTAATATTAATACTGATAATACCAAATACTACCCACTTCCACTAATTAACTGCAACTCATGTTCTAGTTGTCACCTTAATTCTAACAGAATAGCTTCAGTCTGTATAATCAACATATCAGCTATTATATTAATATAATTTTTTGGAAGAGTTTCTTCTAACTTTTTTAAATTTAATGCCAATTACATGAACCTTATTTTTTTGACAGCTATTAAATATTTAATTTTACCTTCTTTACCCTACATATTACTATCTATCCCTATTTTTCATTCTGCTGCATCAGAAATCTTTTATTCTAGTGACAAAACAGATAAACTAATTGAAATCTTATTATTAAACTCTATTTAAAATACTTTTAACTTCTATACAGATAGATCAGTTATTGATATTAGTACCAACTAGTGCTCTATAGGTATAAGTTAGATTCAAATAAATGATAATGATCAAATAGTTCATAAATTCTTAGCTAAAATTTATTTATAGCCAACCTTTTACAAAGCTAAACTTTTTTCTATTCTATCTGCTATTTCAAAACTTAATTTTACTACTATTAATCACAACAAACTTTTAAAATTTAACTCATGGCCTCTGTAGCATACTCTTCTTAACTTAATTCAATTTTTAATTTACGTCTCACTTTTCATAAAATTCAGGCTTATACTGATAATACTTTTAACAATTTTGCTGATTTATTAGCTAAACAATATATATCTAAAACATCACTATACTTTAACCATACCAATATTTACAATCTATTCTACATCTTGCAATAGAAAGAGGATCAGTTTCTAGTAGAATATCCTACCAGATATTTTATTAAAACAATCTGTAAAGCTCATATTCTAGCAATATGGTTATCTCAAAAATGCAACAATGAATAGTCCTTATTTAACAAACAAATAGATTAAAGATCTATATGGCTCTATTTTAACTATAACCAAAAAGTTACAAACAATTTTACAAACTTTAAACTCAATCAACTTAAATCTTTTAAAATTAAAATATTGCTTAATGAATTTCCTACACACTCACTCTACCACTCCATATATTCTAAATCTTTTTACAATAATAACTGCTTTTATTGTAGATCTCAAAACTCTCTATTACACTAGCATATCTGTACCAATCCTAC